CTGCAGGCGCTGCTGCTGCTGCTGCTGCTGCTGGCGCTGCTGCTGTGCCGCTGCTGTCGTGATGGCTGTGCTGCTCTTGATGCAAGTTGCTGGATGCGATAAAAATTGCACGATTACTTCAAAAACTCGTATTCCTGCTCTTTGTAATATCACCTGGCTCACGTTCGAAAGGCTAGCGAAGCAATACGCAATGGTTGACTCGATCGGCAGCGAATGCAGAGCGCTTTTGATCAAGTTTGTAATCAACTTGACAATTCAGCAGATTCCCGTCGCAAATCATGCTCCTGCCGTTGCGAGGCGCCTCGTGGTTCAGCGGTTGCCGCTGAGCTCGACCATGGCCAACATGACCACCCACAGTGCAATGTTAACCGTCAATGGTTGCAGAATTACAATGTTTAAGGTGTGCGTGTGTGAGTGTGAGAGAAAGTGTGTGTGTGTGTGTCTGAGTGTGTGTGTGTGCGCGCGCGAAAGCGCGCGCGTGTGTGAAAGCGCGCGCGCGTGTGTGCTCCCGCGCGATGGGATGCGTGCAGGAGGCATTTGCTTGCCAGCCCAAGACCATGGCACTGACAACTGCTTGCCAGCAAGGCACTGAACCTTTTCTCTTGTTGATGTCAATCAGATGAAAGTTGGCTGGGCCCCAGACACATCGAAATGGTGATTGGCCGCAGCAAACGGCATTGCATGTGGGTTGCCCACCCACGCACTTGAACAACAGCATCCACAACCACAGTACGGCAGAGCTATGCAAAATGGATTCAGAGCTGCAGATCCGTGCGTGCGCCGTAGTGTTCGCTGTTCAAGTCTGCATTGCGCTCAATCGTATCGTGGCACACACCAGGCACCGCCCACTGGCAGTGTCACCAGACGGCCTTTCGCCCCCTTCTCTCCCGCTTGTTTGGGCACTTGATTGAGCGTGGGTATCGTAAGTAAGTGATTGAAGCTCTCTTCGCGGCGTTGACCTCTTCGTCAGGCTGGTGCTCGAGGCGCCTCAGATCACGCGGTCGTCAAGCGCGTCGTCCGCCTCCACCAAGCGCGAAAAGAACATTCAAGTCATTGAATCACCGCCGTCATCAGACTGCCCATTCGTACTCGGCTTGGCGCGCGCGACGAGAGCAGCAGCAGGCCGCGAGCCTTGTGCCCCTCTTCGTAGCTAAGATCAGCGTTTAGCATCAGCCTCGCTGATCCTGGCAGTTGCGTGCACTCGCCAACGCCGAGCACGTCGCATCAAGCACAAGGAGCGCGGCGCTCGCAGCAGCCGCGCCGCTCGGCGCAAACACACAGGAGGCACGCGCAACCGGCGCGCCGGGGCGCCCGGGGCGTTGCGGGCGCCACCGCACCGGCCAGCGGGCGGCGCGCCGCCATGCAGGTCCCGCGCGACGGCCTGGTGGCCAAGCTCCAGAAGCTCAGCCAGAGCCAGCAGTCGATCGAGTCGGTCTCGAGCTTCTGCGTCTTCTACCATAAAGACGCCCGCGGCGTCGTGAACATCTGGGAGGAGGAGTTCTTCAAGGCCCCCAACGACAGGAAGATGGCGCTGCTGTACCTAGCAAACCACATCCTTCAGGAGGGGCGCCGCAAGGGCACCGGCTTCCAGGACGAATTTTACCGGGTGCTGCCCAAGGCGATGCAGCACGCGCTCGGCGGCGGCGACGAGCGCGTCAAGCGCGCGGTCTCGCGGCTGGTCGCGATCTGGGAGGAGCGGCGGGTGTTTGGGACGCGGCACATCAAGTCGTTCCAGGGGCTGGTGGGGGGCGGCGGCGCGGGCGCGGCCGGGTTGCCGGCGGG